CGCATCCAAATAGAGGAAGCAATCTGCCAGAAAGTAGCCCGAAGGCACCTGAAGCAACGAAACAATAGACCCACAATTTCCCTTCTGGACACCATTTTTTTGGTACACGCTTTACATGTCTTTTTTCATGCCCTGGCCTGGTCTGGGCAGCATTGCACCAGAGGAAACAGCCAAGTGAAATTCTTTGCCAAGGTGGCTGCCGATGGTTTGGCATCCATATCCACAACCAAAAGCTCACTCCCTTTCCACTCTGGGTTGCAAATCAACTCCATCAGCTCCATCGGGAGGTTTGCATGCATGCAGCGAGCCACCTTGTCCTTATGTTGACACACGTGTGAATGCCCGGTGACACAATCATTTGCGAACCATGAAGATAATGAGACAACACCAAATAGAAAGTAGGGCTCCGCAACTTATTGATTTCAAGAGTCTACCTTTTCCTGGGTCCATGTGACTTTCCCTGGCCTCATAGATCGCCACCTCGTGATCGTTGCCAGCTTGAGTTGAGGCTCACCCCCTTCCGCGTCAGGAGAAAGCTGGTTTTCTTGAGCGCGTTCTACTTCAACCAAGGCCATGTCGGCAGCTGTCGGTGGCAGGGCGAGTTTGCAAACACTTGAAAGACACTGCGCTGAGTTGGAGGGACGTTCAAGTCGTGAGTGTGCATGCGTGATCTTCATGCCATTTTGACACCCTCACACATGGACCCATGCCATGGAACTGCATTGCATGAACATTGAAATTGGAGTGCTTTAAACCCTTCGATCTCACCCCAGCACAGCCCAGTTTGGGGCACCTCTCCACAGCTCCAGGCCAATCCGCTCATGAGCGAGCGCGTAGATCCGGGTTCAACCACTCTTGTCTCAACATGTGAATTGGATTGGTTTTTGTCAAGTGACATGCCATGACGTGCGCTCCGTTGAAAGCGCTCCAACATACTCCAACCAAAAACCATGGAGAACCTCACAGCATTTTAGCAATATAAGAATCTAGGCAAACTTAACAGCCATCTTTACAATTTACATAATGATTTGAACCTATCTTCTCCATGGGTACTCACCGCCCGGCTCGGTCTCACCAGAAGAGTTGCGGCGCGAAGCCGGGCAAAAAGGAAAGGAAAAACACGAAGCGAAACGGGAACCTGTGTGTGAACCCCGTGTATGAACATGCTCCGCTGTGCGATGTTGCCGGCTTGCGGCGCCCCTGTTTTTTCTTTTGAGCATTTTTCTTTTTAGAAAAAAACCTTGCGCATTTGTTTGCAGTTGAAAACCGGGACCCACCACCGTTGGACATAGACCTTTCTCACACGTGAACTTTTACACTTTGAGGTGGCAAACAACTATGTGTGCCACGCACGCCATGCGAACACTGGGCAAAGCTTCGGTTAAACTTTGGCCTGTCTCAATATGGTGGTGGATGTGCGCAAACCAAAGCGCCCCGATCCAGCAGACGCTTGCGTGTGCAAAGTGGGTGGGCGGGTGGGCGGTGGATGGCTGTCTCCAGGTGGGTGGGTGGGCAGTGGATGGATGGATGTTTCCAGCAAACAACAGCAAAACAACAAACAACAGCATGACGCTGTCACAGCAAGAAACGACGTCCAAAGCAGAGCTTTGGATCCTCCCGGTGTAGTTCAAGTCTCAACTTCCCAGTCTCGGGCTTGTCCACATCTTGTAGTAGGGCGTTGCCGCCCAACTCGGCCAAGTCGAGAAGCCCACTTTGAGCACTGGCAGGAGCAGGTGGAGGCAGAGCCGTGGCTGCAGCGAATGCCTCAAAGTACCCCAGTACCGTCATCAACATCTGGGTGTGTTGTTCACTCTCCAACGGCATACCGTGCCCGAGTTCTGTGACACGCACCTCTTTGATCACTTCCTTGTAGGATTGATTGGCCCGGGCTGCACGCCGCCATAGTTCTTCAACAGCTTGTCGGCCCTGCATCCAACTGGCCAGCGCTGGATAATCCGTCGCGGGGTCCAAGGTCACGAGGCGGGTGATTCCCGTCCACGATCTATTCATGTCCAAAAGGATGCGTTCCAGCTCTTCCAATGGATGTTATCCAAGACATACTCCTTGGCACCAAGTGGAGTCTGATATCCCACCTGAGTCGCTCGTAGACCTTGTAGTCCAGGTACAGCGTCAGGTAGTGGTTCCCCATCTTGTAGATGATCTTCAACCGGACCCACCCCAGGCACAAACACCCTCCGCCTGGGAGTCAAGTGCACCCGCCACTCCGCGGTGATACGGGGAATGAAGCCAGTAGTCACGCTCTCCTCTTGGACTGGAAGCTATCCCTTCACGATCATCGGTGCTCAATTGCCAGCCAGCGGGTAGAACATCATGTTCGTATCTCATGGGCTGACACTCGGAGGCCATGTCTGTAATAGGCATCATAATACGTCAACCAGGAGTGCTCTCCAATTTCCCAGTTTCCTTCCAGGACTCCTCAAATATCCACCTCAATGAAGGGCAAGCTGATTGATGCCACCGTTTGATTGGACTCCTCCGAGGTGTAGGGACTATAGACAGGCTCGCTACCTGTAGCCTCTTCCGACTCTCCATTCTCACAAGCCTCTGGGCGATTGGTAGCATTGGTCGTAGCTACAGGTTCCATCATCAGGGCGCTCTTCTTCTCCAACTTGGTTTTCATCTTCTTGAGGTGCTCCTGCGTCGTGCGAAATGCAGTTTCATAGAAATCCCTCTTCTGTCGTACTGTTTGCATGGCAGGGTCCACGGTCGAAGAAGACGCCACCGTCGCCCGAATCGACGACTCCTCCAACTCCGTCGGTGACAATCTCCGCCAAGTAGAACGACCTGCCTCTGAGTCTCCTTTCTTCCTGATCTTCGCCGCCACCGACATGGGCAGATCATCCAGCACCGACGCAGACTTCTTTAACTCCTCAGGTCCAATGTCCTCATCTGAAGGCTGCTGCTCATCATCGCTCAACGTCATAGCCGGATACCTGGGACCCGGTGCTGCGGCTTGAGCGGGTCCTGCGGCTTGAGCTGGTTCATCTTTCCGGTTGGATGTCTCCTCATGAGTGGGGATCAACTCAGCATTCACTCGACCCTGCTTCAGTTGATCAGCCAGCTGCTGTAGAGCTTCCTTGGTCACCTTGGCGGCTTCAATCTCATCTCCCGTGGCTAACCTGATGCGTTCAAGCGGGAGTCCTCGAAGTTTGTGTCTGTACCTGATCCAGACACGTTTGGTAAGCTCAGCTTTCTCTTCTCGCAAGGCCTCCAGGCCATTGAGTAGCCAATCACAAAACCCATCGGGCCGGGCCATTCAGCTGCCAGCGTAGACCGCTTGACTTGCTGGCGCTTGCCCTCCACCGGGTTCCACAATCGCACCGAACCTTCTATCGGCTGGTGCGCGCCAGGGGTCTTGAGTCACCCCTTCAGACTTTTGATGGGTCTGATGGACATGTTGCCAGGGATCACCTTGTAGCCAGGGGTCCTCGCTGTCCCGGCTGCTGGGGGTTGAGGCCTCACCCACCATCTCACTGTCACCTTGTTTCGTTCCCCTTGGACCCGGTCCACCGGTCACCTCCAAGGGTGCTGCCATCTTCGCAGATCGATGTAGCCCTCTGCGACGTCGATGTAGAAAGAGGGGGAGAGGCATCTCCTCCGTCGCAGGGGTCTGAAGTTCCCCTTCTTCAGCAGCCCCGTCGTTCGCCGTGGCTCCGAGATCGGCACCCGACATGGCTCAGGCTCAAGCCCTACCTACAACAACTACGGCCCCAAAACGGGGCTCCGCTACCACTGAAAAAGCTCGACGGCTCCCCTTTTTGCCGTCCCGGTGACACGACGGGCTGCGGTTAATCGACAATTAGGTTGCAGGCCATCGCTATTAGGTTGGAGGCCATCGCCTTTAGGTTGGAGGCCATCCCTATTGTAGGTTGGAGGTCATGGCTACTAGGTTGGAGGCCATCTCTGTTAGGTTGGAGGCCATCGATATTAGGTTGGAGCCCGTCGCTATTAGGTTGGAGGCCACCGCCTTTAGGTTGGAGGCCATCCCTATTAGGTTGGCGGACATTGCTATTGGGTTAAAGGTCATCTCTATTGGGTTGGAGGCCATCGATATTAGGTTGGAGCCCATCGCTATTAGCTTGGAGGCCATCGCCTTTAGGTTGGAGGCCGTCGCTATTAGGTTGGAGGTCATTGCTATTAGGTTGGAGGCCATCGCTCTCAGGTTGCAGGCCATCGCTCTCAGGTTGCAAGCCATCGCTACTAGGTTGGAGGCCATCGCCATTAGGTTGGAGGGCATCGCTATTAAGGTTGGAGGTCATTGCTATTAGGTTGGAGGCCATCGCTATTAGGTTGGAGGTCATCCCTATTAGGTTGGAGCCCATCGCTATTTGGTTGGGGGCCATCGCCTTTAGGTTCGCTATTAGGTTGGAGGTCATTGCTATTAGGTTGGAGGCCATCGCTATTAGGTTGCAGGCCATCGCTCTCAGGTTGCAGGCCATCGCTATTAGGATGGAGGCAATCGCCATTAGGTTGGAGGGCGTCGCCATTAGGTTGAGGTCATTGCTATTAGGTTGGAGGCCATTGCTGTTAGGTCGGAGGTCACGCCTATTAGGTTGGAGGTCATTGCTATTAGTAGGTTGGAGGCCATCGCAATTAGGTTGGAGGTCATTGCTATTAGGTTGGAGGCCATCGCTATTAGGTTGGAGGTCATCGCCATTAGGTTGGAGGTCATTGCTATTAGGTTGGAGGCCATCGCCATTAGGATGGAGCCCATCGCTATTAGGTTGGAGGCCATCGCTATTAGGTTGGAGGCCATC